CATCTGCAGTTAGCTGTTAACATGGAATAAATCGGTCTGTTTACAACATCAATTCTCAGACTGAGATGTGATATGAATATTTGGGTCGAAGTCCATCGAGTGCTGATGAGATTAACCTCTCGCAACCTGTCATGTGACGCTGAATATGGGAGAACTTGCAAATGAAATTTCAGTTAATAAATGGGCGGTCAGGTTTGGTGTATCGTGCAACCTGTTCATTATTTTGAAAGTTCGGTCTCGGTCGTCGCGGATTCGGAAGTCACTGATAGAATATTTGTTCTAAAAACAAATGTCTTCACCTGCGGTTTCCAGTAGATGCGCAGAATGTCGTAGCGTTATGCGTACTATCTGATTTGAGGGTGGAAAACTGCACTCCATGTTTGATTGTTCAGTAATGCGAAACACAGAGGCATTTCTGGCCGATAGACAGAATTGCTGACCCGGACTCTCTATCTAATCTGTCCAAGGCCAACTGGCGCATGCACATTCGCGTTTGCAGACTTTGGCGCTTTCTTCGACGTACCTGCACCCTCCATGGTCATGCTGAAATCAGTAGACGACTGCCGACCACTCCTGTTTTTGGATAGTATCTTTTGATCGTATTCATAATCGACCGAATGCTGCGTCCGACCTGCAATTAATATAACAACGTCTTCAGAAATCATTTGCCATCGTCCTTGGTTTACGAGGGCTGGAAAGGATAGCTAACGGTGCAGCTACAACGTCGAAATTGATGGTCTATTAACATGTAAAATGTGCTATAGGATAAAAGTTACGCAAAAATACTTTAAGACTAACATTCTTAAAGCCGGAGTCCATGCAAATCCCCCCATTTATCTTTTATTCGCGTTTTGCTAGCAAACATGACTTCGCTGGCGATAAAGATTACTGAGTACCACAATTCTCTAACCGAAGCGTTCAAATTTAAACAGATCATATTGTTGTTTACCGATCGACTTTGTAAATTTGTAAATGTAACGTTGCCTTCAGTTTCTCACAGATTTCTCCACATCTTCGACTGCTGCAGGCAAATTCTGCAGTGCATAGTTGCCTAGGCATCTTATAGAAACGGACAAGGGAGATTCATATGCCTAATGCGTGACGGGAGGAATAGGGTTTTCGTGCGCAAGTCATCCTGCCTGTTTTTATTTTGTTGCGGTGCAGTCGGTTAAAATCGTTAGAAACAGTCGACCGGTAGGACCATACTCTTAAAAATGGAGCCGAGTTCTAATTCCAATCGAAGACTTGCTTTCCATCTCAGCATTTTCGTTGGAAATGTTGCATAGGCCGTCCTTAGAAATTAGCCCACTGTGTCTTATTAATTGCGACTAGTAGCCTTACACGAAGTTCCCGGGACGCGAACAGCGGACTGAGCGCGTGGGTGCGACGCGGCGCCAAATCGCCTCGTGCCGAAGTCGGCTGCACGCCATGTGACCGAGGTCGACAGCCTGGTTAATCAACAGACGCTTGTCGACGGGGCTGGAGCGCGTGATCTTAGCTCATGCCTAAGGCGTCGGTGGGAGCATGCGTATCCCCGAACCCTGCATGGATTGCGCCTGTACGCGATGGGGATACATGATGATGAAACTGCAAGTAAGCATGCTTAACGCCTGTCATCAGCGGACCTCGCGAACTATCTGCGCCCTTACTGATCTCGCCGTAGAAATATGTAACACACTCATGCAACGTGGCTGTCTCTATTGCAATCACTGTTGGTGTGTTCTTATGTACAGCCCTTTAGACTCCAAAATGGCCTCTCCCTAGCCAATGAAAAGGGCTTAATGGTGGTTGTTATGTTAATTCTGGGCAGGTTAGGTCGCGTGGACACGTGCAGTTGATAATCGGAGGTGCCAAATTTCGAGATCGATCCCGAAAATGTTTAAAAATGCTCGGCTAGAACGGATAAAACTGAGAAATAAGCGGTTATCACTCATGTACGCAAAGGATCAATACACGGCCATGCGTTTGGATACATAGAAATAACCTCGCCATAACATCCCCCATGTGTTCGATGCTGCTTACCCGTCTGCGCTACTTATTGGGTTCCTGACGTCTTCTCGAGTGTTTGTGCTTCAACTCAAGTCATTCGGTTTAGTTTCACAAATACATGCAATATGAAGGCAATTTAAACTTTAACATGTATAATTTACAAACTGGCTGCTTACACTGAAACGCTGCATTCATGCAGAGTGTGTTGATGTTGAAAGTGCCTGAACTTCCAAAAACAAGAGCCAGCCAATCACCAGAGGCCGCGTGCGTTTTCTCTATCGCGCAATCAGCATAATCATGGCACCACTTCATTGGCTACTCTCCTCGAGGCTGATCGATCTATGTATACGAAGTACCATTCAGTTCGTCTAGAATGTTCTTCCCGAAGTGCATTGGGTCGAATGCAGACGAACCTCCGTGGGATGAGGCCATGAAGGCTTGAAACCCGCCGGACTCTCATTGTCAAATTGGCGAAACCGTTTTACGCATGTATAGCCAACTTATTAAAATCTACTAAAATTTTATTATCAAGCTGGCCATGTAGTATCAATCGCATGGAGCTGCAGAACCAAACCTTTTTTGGGTTTTACCTTTTGCATGACCTTTAGTACAGACATGCACAATTATCTGTCATAACTTAGGCTTGTCTCATTATCTTTTAACTCTACGTAAAGGACGTACTCTACTGAGCGACTCACTCAAGTGATTCGAGATCGGTTTATTGTCATATACAGATATGAGTTTTGAACATAAATATCGCCCTTCAAACTTTCCAAGTGTATTTTTTTAAAACACCCCGGAAATGCATGGAACATTCAAAGGACGTTAACGCCAGTCATTTTATCATCGAAGACTAGCAAACATGCATCGTAACTGAAGACGTCATTATGGGCAACTATAATCGGCTTCACAATCATGCCAGTCTAGTTTATCGACCAAAACCTCTTATTCCTTGGTGTTCTGGAAATTGAAAGGGAAAACGTTAGTGGGTGGAGATCACGACAAACGTAGTATGATGATGGTTCAGCAAGTGTTAAGACATAATAACCCGCATAAGAGGGAGTTAGGAAAGTATCTATAAAATGTGCACTATTTTGCACATGAAAATGAATGTCGCAAGTATCCATTCCTGTGATCACGGTTTTTAGTTCCTGGATAAAGTTTGACTTTGAGTTTTCGGACAAGCAGGATCCCCTACGTGGACGAATACATAATAGGATATCCGCCGTTGGCTATTGAGCAGGTTCATTGTATCTTTGTAATGTTCACAGGCAATTCGTTCGACTTTTCCATTAGTAACATTCAGCAGCTGAGATTACTCGTTGAATACATTTACATGCATTGGGGAAATCGTTACACAGAACGTTGCATTTGTTAGTTGATTTCGACGTGTAAGTGCGACATGCGAAACTGCATTTGGTGTTTTCAAATTCAACGTAGTAGGCGGGTATTTCAATTGCCGTCATGATTTTCGGTGTTTTCACCCGATCTTCCTTTAAGACAGATTTTGAATGATCTGTTTGTTATGAACTTTAAAATAAGATTATTCTTGAAGGCATTTACCGAGTAAGTGAGTGTTCGGGCGCGCCTTTTCGCGAAGATGATCTTTTGTGTCACACGTGAAGGCGCATTTAAACATCAAACGCCATTTTTGAGAAAAATGGCCTCCCATAACGAAAGTGAGCGACGAATATATCCTCGAGCAATAAGTCAACTTGTTTTAATAAGGTATCACTTTAAGAAGTGTTTTATTACTGTATTTGGTTGACAAAACTCTGTGTACTTTACACTTTTTCAAAGCAAGGCCAACTACTAATTTTATTCTATTGGCCGGTTCTTTCGCGTTCCCAAGAAATGCGGATATTTTTTTCTACCGCAAACGTAAGAGAATGGCTTTTTCTATTTACAGTACCTGTGCTAAATCATAATATGCGGAGGTCAAAATTAGAATAGAAACTCTAGCGTATTTTCCGTGATATTTGTGTTTATTTAATTAAAATAAAGACAAAAAGTCCGTTTGTTGAATAAACTTTCGATAGGAATCTGTATATTAAGTAGAAAACTGGCTGATTTTAGGCATAATAGGAAGATTCCTGATTTTTAGCAGTTTCCTACGTAACTAAAGCTTTTGGATATAAATTCTTTGTTTTACCTTATTAATCTGGTAAAGAGGGTTAATAAAAGAAAGACGGTCTTCATTAAACTTTCGTACAAAAACAAAAAAATAAATTTTAATATCAAGAAAATCATGGAAATGCAGATTAATTATATGTTATTGCGTTCAGGAAATAAGGTGCGATTCTTCATCTGAAAATTGTATTTTACAAATCCGGAAAGTTTTACGTTTCAAAATACCAAAATAAAAAGTTTATCAGTTTATTTGTTTTACCAGACCGAAAATGTGTATCTTAAAGGAATATATATTAAGTTCGCGCGACATGCCGTCAGCTTTCTCTGTCATGCCAAACGATACAATTGTCTAAACAATACTTATCCGAAGTTGACTTTAAGCGTTTTCGAAAATTAGCGGCGGAGTGGATCCCGAATGAGTCGTAAGCTAGTATTTTCAATGTTAGTAAGATCGCTCTGTGACGCCTTATTAATGATAAAACTGTTTTCTAGAAATAAGATAGGGGGACCCAAACGATCGAAAAGTAAGCAAGACGACAATTCTATTCGGTGTGCATTAAAAATTTTTATTGCATGCCCATTGAGACCATTCAACGGGAACATCTGCAGATGATCACCATCAACATCACTTGGAAATGGATGAAGGAATTTGAACTGTTGCGGCGGAAGGCCATGCTTTGGCCATATTTAAGTAGAAAAATAATTGAAGAACAGCTTCTATTTACTACGAATTTTCTTGTCTACATGACTTCATTTTGGGAGAGCATTTTTTTATGCGATGAGGTTTTATTTTTAGACAAGTTTACGAAATCGCTCCAAACCGTTATATGTGGAAAACACTTCTCAAAAGAACGCACAACGCCGACGGCAACATTCAAGAAATGTCGGCGGATGGTGGTTTAGATGGCGGTCAACAGCCGACCCCATCAACAGCAATTGTCAAGGATGCTTTCAGCTACAACAGCATCAGTCGGCGCCGAATGGATACTGTAAGTTTGCAGGACAATGTATCTTTCTACCGCTTTAGGGCGGTACAAATTTGATTTCGCTTGCTAATACGATCTATCATTTTAGACAACAGTCACCCTCTGCGCACTTGGCCTCCGATCCATTTTCATCCCGGCCAAAAAGCCCGATTTGGATTCTATCGAAAATCCTTTTGTAATTGTCAAAATAAAGAAGCTAAGAAGACTGTTTCAATGCAGGAATTATTAGATTTCATACTGAATAATTAAATTTTACAATCCACCACACATAACCTCGTCATGTCTATGTCTGACGTTATTTCTGCCGTTATTTATTCAAATGAACAATCAGCAAATTACGGGTTTTTATCTGTTTTTGTCCTTATTGATTTTACCCTTTTATGCGCACTCGACATTTATATGACCTCATCCGTAGCCTTTATTAACTTATTTGTAATATAAGCGTTTCTCGAAAATGCGATTTTATTTGAAAATATGTTTTCCCTTAGTTAGTAATATTTTCTAACCCAAAATTTACTTTATTTTATCGACACATCATTTATTTTCCGTTATCGGACTTTGGGAGTTCTTGTGTTTACGGATTATGTGTTAAAGTCGTTTACCTGTGTTAATTAATGACATTTCATAAGTTAGCACAGGTATCTATGGATGCCAATTCCACTGTGTGTGCTTGCTTTAGACTCCATTATTTGCTTATGAATGCAAAGCAGAGCGCCCATATAAAAACTGATATTTTGCTAAAACTATTAATGTTTTGCTTGTTCTATTTTTCTACAAAACAAGAAATGTTTCATATGATCAGAACTGGAAATTAGCACTTCTTGGTGGTACAATTTTCTAAACGGCGAAAATGTCATCCAACTTGAAAGAAAGAATCCTTATCTGATTTATTACTGCACTTTATTGCACCACATCAAACAGATCTGCTAGTTTTACATCTAGAAATTGAGAAAACCTATAGTTTTCTTGAAAAAAATCTTCGTTTGAGCAGATTTCTCACCATGGTTAACACCGGATTCGAATTTGGCTAAGTCTGTTTATTAAATTTCTCATGGGCAAACTACTATCCTTTCAATGAAAATGTCGCTGAGATGCGTAACCGTAGTATAGGACATGTATTAGCATAGGGATTGGAACGAATTTATTCTAGTTTCTATGTTCGCCAAAATTTACTGAGTACTTAATATAATTACGTAAATGCGATTTCTTCACAAGAAAATGACATTTTTGAAACAAATGGATGAGCGAACAGAATGCTCAAAGTTGAAAGCGTCCATGCGGAAGGCGGCCCATCAGTTTATGTTGTCAGATTGCATTAGATAGGTCGCGTACTGTAAGTCTTGAATCACTTACTACCGGCGGCATGTTTAAACTTCTTTTGTTTTAGCCATTCTCCTCGAATCTTAATGGACTTATTTGACGGTGACTTTAAGAGAGAAATCTTTGTAGAGTAAATTGGTAACACAATTAAATGCATAGAGTGGTTTTTGTCTGACCGTCTCCTGATAACCTGTGGACTTGTTGTGTATGTTAAGAAGCGATGTTATGTAGAATATGTGGTAACCCTGCATTTGATTTCGTTTGGCCGGTTGATTTGTATGGACGCGGCGCACGCATACTAGTATCTCTTAATGCAGTCTCGCATAAACTTTGTCAGTATTCTCGCCTCAACAATCCTGGCTGCAGAATGTGTGCCTAGGTTATCGCTTAATCCAATCAATGTTTAATCTGAGAGTTTACCCCTACCAACAGATTAGACGGACAGTCTGTAATAACCCTCAAATGCAGTGCGGATAACATATCAGGACGTCAAGATTAGAATGAATGTATCATGTTTGAATACATATTAGGTTTCTCCAATATACAATGCATCGACACAACAAATATATTTGTCATTTTTTATTAGTGATTTAATTATAAATAAAAAAAGGAAGCTGCCACTTTAGCACATGGTGAAACATAAATGCATGCACGCGATGTAATGCAAAATTAACCAATGGATTTCGATTATTGAAACCGCCTTTCAAAATATTCAACTATATGCTTTCAAAAATTCGTGGAAGTGCGTAAACCATGCGAACAACATCAAGGCCAATCATTTGATCCTCGAAACTGAACTCTAATGCAACCTCGCCGATGGCTTTAATATAAACAAAAATTATTGATTCAGCAACCACGCCCGTCTTGTTTGCTGACAGGCGCCAGACGGGATTTTGGAACTCAATGTTGAACGCACACACGTAGGTGGTTCACCGGACATAGATTTTAAAATGAGGTAGTACATTTAAGAAACTTGTTTAAAAATATAAGAAAAAAATAGAAGAAAAATTCATTTCCGTGTGCAATTTTGCTACTCCCAAAGAAGGGGTTTTCTAGCTCACTGCAATTGAATTAACTTCATAAATACATGCAGCTTGCTTTCATTTTATTTTTTCATTTTATTTGATAAGGATGATAGGCAAAGCCTTTGAAAACCCTATTGATAACATGTCAACTCGTTAGAAATAACTGTACAGTAACAATGAAAATGTTCGCTATATACATAGTACTTGATTCATTTGAGTAGCATTGTCACAGAGAAAAAATATGTGGGGAACCGGGGTGTTTAGCTCAGATTCAGACTGTTGAGGGAAAACAGGGGACACAAATAATCATCCAAGCGTTTCTTGAAGAGTTGCAGTGATGTCGCCTCCACGACTGACTGAGGGAGATCGTTCCATTTCTCCACAACCCTTTGCGTGAAAAATTCAGAACGAAGGTTCAGCCTGGACATTGTTGTCCGTAGCTTCATCGAGTGGCCACGAAGATTGGGTGAAAGGTGCCACTGAAACATGTCCTCAAAGTTAAGTCCATGCTCAAGGCCATTTATTATCTTGTAAACCAGGATTAGATCACCTCTTTGCTGCCTGTAACACAGAGGGAATAGATTAAGGCAATTCAGTCTGTCCGTGTAGGATTGGTTTTTTAGACCGTATACCATCTTTGTTGCCCTACGTTGCACCCGTTCGAGGCATGCTTTGTCCTTTACAAGCCATGGCCGCCATGCTTGTATGCCATATTCTAAGTGGGGCCGAACGAAGGTGCCGTAAACTCTCCCAAAAAGGTCTTGGTCAAAGGTAACGAACGCCCTTTTGATTGCATGCAGCACTCCCATTGCGTTTTTTGCAGCCTTGTGGCACTGCAATGTTGGTTTCAAATTGTTCTGTAGTCGGGCCTTATGGACAAGTTTACTGTACGATACATGCAATTAGTTGTTGAGTGTGTTTGGTTTTTCTTAAAAAGGCCCTTGACAGTAAAGCCGACGTATTCGTTTGTTTAATACACCAAACAAAATTTCGTCGTATATCACACTGCCATGCACTGAGGAAATCGCTTAACACGTATAACATTCTGCAAAAATTGAATAATTTCATTGATTCTGTTTTCATGACTTTCAGCAAGCAAAAGTAATGAAATGTGTGAATGGCTTATCGTACACTGTTTGAAAAAATGCCGACCAGTCCTCGGAAATGTAACATCGCAATATATGCTGAATCTGCTTGCGAAACTAGATATGTGAGTACTGCATTCACTTGTGCGACTGAAATTCTGAAAAAAACTAGACTGCATTTCCAGTTTTCACATTTGAGATAGTTGGCAGGTATTTCGATTGTTGTCAACTTGCTCAGGAAATAATCGAATGCATTTGCACGGGATTCTGTTGTAATCATTGCGTCCCCGCATTTACATAGGCGACACGGCTATAAGTCGGAGGAATAAAAGAAAAATTCGGTTTTTGAAAAATAAACGAATTTGCATATACGCTCAAAGGGGCCATTTACATACGTCAAAGTACATGCCCAAATGCTATGGATAATGTAAAGTTTTTGAAAGGCATGCATTTAAAATAAATAGCAAGGGGTTTTTAAATAACGGATGTTGCCATATCGTTGGAATAAAAAAAATTAGACCCACAATGCAAATTGACGACATGTGAATTATTAATGCCGATTGATTCATCAGCAGCTAATGTCCAAAAATAAGAGCTACTATATATCTAAAAAAACTATGATATTCATCAAAGGCTAACGCTAAATTTTTAAAAGAGAACAAATCTGGTTCTCAGAAGCAGAAAGGAAACCTATTACCATCAAATTTACACATGTGACAAAAACTGAACAGAACAACCATTCGCTTTTGCCACATGATTCAAACGGCGACTGAGCAAATGTGCGCAGTCCAGTGATTTTACGTAAATTCATGGGGGTTTCATTGGCAGAGTACATTTGTGAATATCTACTGACGGACAACGTTTAATAGTACTTCATGTTCAATTTGCCCATCTTTGAATGAATACTTACTGAACTTAATAGTCTTAAGAAAATATGATTAAAATCCTCAAACCACTTCAGTTGCATAAGCTCGCTTTCAGGTATTATTTGTGCTTCTAACTACATAAAAAAGCAAATGACTACATGCCGACTGTTCTTGAGTGTTATTTCTTCGATATAATACAATAGGGTTTGTTGATTCCTGAAATGTCAACCGAAATTCCGATATGTATTTCGGTATCGGGAAGGCCAATTAAATAGCGTCAATAGGCTAATCATGTTGCAGTTTTACCCTATAATAATTCAGTTACCTATAGGTATTTTCTTACCATCGAAATTCTTTCTGCCTGCATGCAGATGCGTTTTCTCTGTAAAAGTGGACAATAATGTAACGTGCATTTTCCCATTGTTTTGCGATGTCCTTACAAAATTAATTTTTCTCCTAGAAAGCATGCATGAGATATTCAATACTTCTATTATTCGGTAAAAAGCGATGCTTTATTTAATTCCACATTCGAAGGAGGGGAATACGTCGGTTTTAAAGTAGCTTTTAATTGTACCATTTTTAGTACTATAAAATGGTTGATCATAAAGTGCCATAATTCTGCATTTACCAAAGTTTCTTGATTAGTTTACAAAAACGTTCAAATCCATTGCTAAGTGGATTGAGTTCCGTATGGTCTCCTCTTAAAATATAAGACTTGCAAATTTAAAAAAATGCTTGTGCAAAGAAAGTTTGGGCTAAAAAATATTATGTAATTCGAAACGTTTTAAAAAACAAAAATACAGCATTCTTTCGAATACGAAATTGAAGAAAGATGTCAGTTTCTATAGAATTTGCAAAGAAACAAATATTAATTTATGTTTACCATGAAGTATGCTGAAATTGTTGAGGGAATAGTAACAATTAAGAAACAGGCATACTGCACAAGTAGTCATTTTACAGAGTAGATTATTTTCATTCAGCCGTGCATATGTTTATTCTAAAGCCAGCATCATATGGAAACTAAATCATTATAGAATTATAAACGTCAAGGGTTGGTTTTGGACATTCACCAAATTAATTTTTTTTCAAAACCAAAAGACGTTTGAAAACTTCGGTTGACATTTCATGAGTTAGCCCAACTACTATTTGTAGATACTTTTTTCTGTCTTCTATGTTGTTACACTGCATAAAACCTCGTCCTTACATTCAAATAATATATCAGCGCCGTCTTCCTGGGCACTCAAGTTACGATGGGGTAGGAAGAGAACAGTCAGCTAACATTCCTGGACGTCCTCGTCTTCCGCAAAGATCGCGATGGCCTTAAAACCAAAGTCTTTAGGAAAGCGACAAATACGACGCAAATACTGAACCGCAATAACAACCATCTGATCAGTAACAAACGCAAGTCTGTAAGGTCGCTATGCCGGCGCGTTGAGATGCACTGCAGTGAAAGGGACGACAACGCTGCTGAATTATATTGTCTTCGACGGGTAATGAGAGTTAATTATTATCCCCGCAGCTTTGTCCAAAAGTGCATATGAAAACGACACCAGAGACCAAATCCAACTATTCACAGATCTAGAAATATTTGCGAACACCCACATCGATCAGTGACCAAGGTAGACGCGGGTCACGCAAGGGTTTCTTCTTCGGGCACAGGATGGACCCTGTGGTCCAGCTGCAGTCGTATCTGATGTTTTCAGTAAGCGCTATCCAGTCACTTCGGGAAGTTAAATGGGAAACTTTAAATGATATGAGATGCCTCATTAGGGTCTAACTTATTCCTAGAACTAAGCATCCGCACGAGGATAAAGCTGTGTATTTTGTTAATTTTACCATGCCCATAGACGTTCTAAAACTTTTGTGGATAGGCGCCGATTTTACGACCAGTATATTCTGCTTAGTAGAAACATGTAAGTAAGGGAAACTACATGCAGGTGGTTTAAGCCGGTAGCCCCTGCTTCCTCAAGTATAAGTTGGCGAAAATAGTTTTGATTTCCGGCGTCATTATGCTGAGTTTTGCCGGTAGTTTATTTAGATTACCTAAATTTTATCTGACAGTAAGCTTGCTGTTTCGAGCGGGTCCTGACTTATTCAAATTTTTTTCGTCCACTCTGCTGCCGAAAAGGTTTGTTTTCTCATCGCCCCAACCAGATAACGTTTCATTTTAGGATAACTACACCGACACAATGTCGAGCATCGACCAGTTAATTTGTGCTTTTTATGTATGGGTCATCGAATGATGCCGTCAGCTCTTTTGTTTCGAACGATGTGTGGGAGAGTCAAAGCGCCAGCTTTTCCTAACTCGAGCATAAACCTGATCGACGAGGGTGCTTGATTGACAGCATCGGGGATGTTATTTATATTATTTTTTCAGGTAGCAGTTACGATTATTTCGTCAACGTAATGACCTTAGTTCCATAGTTTATTGCTTTAATCATCTAACCGAAACTTTTGCAGCTTGCCCATGAAGACAAATTGCTAGGAGAATGCCCAGAGTCGTCCTATAGTAACTTTGTCTTTGTGCCTTTATATTTCACTTCCAAAAGGAACCGCCTATTTGTGTGTATTTAGGTACTAGTTCCTTGGATGAGTCCATTAGCATACCCACTCCTTCCTAGCTGATTGACAGGAATTCAAAAGTGCAGATGACTCTCCCTGTGCCTGGAGAAAAAAGGATAAACTATCGGTCCAGATCACATCTATGTGTTTTTCCTTCTCCACTTGTTTTCACGCAGCAGGCTATATTGGTCGAACGAATCGGCATCTTTCAACATGAATTCCAGAAGACCTCTTGACGCGGCTGAGAAAATCTGAATTAAAAAGCACACGTACTCTATCCAAGCATATATGGTTGATTCTGGGCATCGTTTGGACTCCAAGTAAACCTCCCATGAAATTTAGAATGTCCCACCTAAGTAGCATAAGCGAATGAGCCAGCCCTTACTACCAACAACAGATGCGTCCGCGATCAGGCTACGGGGGCCGATCGTGAGCGCGAAGAACCTCCAACGCGGTCCGCGTCTAACGTGTGATCGTACAACTATTCCCATCTCTTATGACACGGCTCTGCCTAATCAAAACTGCCACTTACTGTTTTCTCCCTCCCTATTCACACATCCCACTGGCATGAAAAGGCGAACCTTGTGTGTCATCCCATGAATGTCAACTGTTTGATAGTCAGAACAGACGACTCCATAGGACTCAAGAATGGGCTGTGTGCTTGAACAGCATGCCAGACTGACAGACGTGACCCCTAGTGTACGTGCGTTAGCAAATACCCTTTAAATTCACAAAGGTTATCCAACAGCTAAATTGACAGGTCAACATCAAAAGCCGTTTACTGTTAAATTTTTTTTTGTAGAGACAACTGAGGCATCAATTGATTGAAGGAACAAGCTTTCTAAAAATTAGGATAAATTTTCTGCCACGTGGCAATACGAAGCTTGTTTGAGGTACATTAAGTTCTTTGTCTTTGTCATTGATTTATCCTACAAAATTCCTGCTCTGATATTCCGCATATGAACAAAGTATATTCAACTAATAACGATGAAACATATGCCATCTATTCCTTAGTAATCATGACAATCTGTCCATCAAAGTGTGTTGTCAATATCAGTGTTAAAGTTGTGCAAAAATGGCATATCGGAGAGGTTCACGGTAAAGCACAAAATCTAGTTTCTTTATCTTTAACATCACAAGAAACTACAACGTTAGGGATGCAGTTATTGGAAACGGATTTTCATATATTTCGCCACCAGAATGACTGCCTCAATAATACGTGGCAGATAAACTTCAGCTGGCAATTAATTGGGGCTGTAATTAATGTCATGTGACCCGGTAGATAATGATATCAAGCATAAAGGCGGCGACTTCAATATATTAGCTTTGGTAAAGACTGATAAGTCTAATTAAGATTTCACAGCCACTTATTTAGTCCCAGAAACGTGTTCTTGTCGTTCTTGTCAGTGTGTCTCTTGGGCTGAAAGTCGCTTGCTAAACACCTTGTCTGCACTTGGTTACTACATGCAGGTGACTTAAGTTTACTTACAGCGTCCCTCAGAAGCAGTGTGACATCAATGAATGCTGACCATAAGTCAATGGTAAATATAACTTTTGTAAAACGAATGCCGACCTGCACGCCACAGTACCGTCTGACAAAACAGGCACTTTTGCACTTTATGGGATGGGATTACCAAGTATTCCGAGCATTTAAATGACAAAGAGAAACCTTACTAAAATAGGCCATTTCACTGCATACATCAAATCAATGTTGCGAAAGTTCTCGTCTTCATCATTTGGTGATAATCACCAAAAAATAATACCATACAGGACTACATGAAAATATCACTTTTCTGCAGTTAAATATGATAACTCTCTTCCGTTTACTCTCCTCGAGACCTCGACTGTATCCAGTAAACACTGCAACTCCAAAAAATTAAAACATCCAAATTAATTTCTCTTATTTTGACAGCCGGAAGGATTCTAGAAAATTAACTCCTAGAAGTGCCATCTGTTATCACCATGTATATCTCTCAACTATACATTTCCTGCTCAAATCTGATTTTGCATAAAACTAAAGGTTGTCATTGTAGCCCAACGAGAGTGTGATTACATATCATATCATGACAAAAGGAGTAACTCCTCAGGTTTCCCTGCGGGTTTAAATTGCACGCTAACATAGCAAAGATGCAAGTTGTGTACACTGTCCAATGCATCCATTTCGGTGCAAATGTTTGAAAAAACCCGCTGAACCACCGTAGTTTGTTGAAATTAATATGATAGCCGCACTGGCAACTGCATATTTTCTGAGATTGATTGTCGTAAGCCGACGCCCACGCGAAGAAGATAAGCACCGTATATTGAATCATGAATTTCAGAGGGTGGGCGGTGGTCTCTTAGGCTTGCTCTTGTCTGCTGTAGCTTACAAGCATATTTGAAAATAATTGCATGCGAAAGAGAAATATCATAAGGCGAAGCCCAACAAATTGAGACGTTTGGACACTGTTGGGAATCTCAAGTAAGTGTTTCAGTAACTTTGGTTATCTGTATCTTGAACTGATGGTCTTCTATCTCTTACGTATTTGACATTTTGTATGATATGTCAGTTTGTGTACTGCTTACCTAACCTTTCGGAGACCGTAATTCGGTTACAAGTTTTGACGCATTTAACGCATTTTATCTACTAGGGCTCTGAGCAACTGGTTATGCCTGAAGGTCTTGGGTAGATTAGTTTTTCATGTTTCGTTTTCTCGACCCTAAATCGGATAATTTGGGACTTGTAATCACCCTCTATTATTAGTCAGAGATTCAGTGGATGACCACCGAACCTCTGTCTGACCTTGGAGCAGAAACGCCGTTATGGTTTTAGGTGTTCACCGTTCCAATGCTGAACTGTTATCGGCTTCCTCAACGACTAGTGTTAGGTTATTATCCTGAATGGGCGCCTCATTTGTTCGTCTTTTGAATTCCCACTTTAAAAACATACATAATGCATAGACGGTTAGCAGCAGTCCCTCCCTGGTTTGCATGGAGTACAGATTGTACTGCCTTGTAGTTAAACATTATGTCCATAAAGTATGCATGTATAAGGAGCTAACATAAGAAACGGTATTCAAATACACTTATGAAGACGAGGAATGCCGTGTCATAATGCACTGGATAGCAAATTTTAGTTTGAACTTTTTTGACACGGCCCACAGTTTCACTGCACAATCGAGAATGCAGTGGTTCTGATTATGTCAGAAGTGCCCATTAGTCGATAAATACAAACACGTGGGTTCCACAAAGTGTTTGAAATGGGGGGAGGAAACGCGATCAATGAAACTTTATTTGTCGGATTTCCGGATCTACTTTTGAACACAAAATCTGATTGTATTGGATATATGTGCTTCATTGATAAAGAGGTGCATTCAATTTCATGGCTTAAAATGCTGAAATGACAAGATGACTTAGTCTTATCCGTAGGGCGGAGATTAAGGCTGCAGTGGTTCCTTTTTATAGTGGTCAGTACAGGACTCTCGCCCTGCCGAAACCTAAGTCGGCACCCAGAAATGGAAGTACTGAAGCGGACAGGGATACTCAGCATTTACGCCATGCTGATATGGCTTTAACTGCGTTACAGAGGCCACCTGCTGAGGATCGAAAATGAGACCCTACTTAAATGACTCATCCATGGAGATGTCCCAACGGTTTCCCGCAGACAAGGACGCGAAGACCGTCGGTACAAGGACAGTTTGAAAACTTCCCTGAAGCCACTGTATATCAACACGGCGAACTAGGGAGACGTCGCCCAGGACCGATGACCTAAATGAGTATATTGAAGAATGACAGAGCGATCTACGACGCCAACCGCATCACCGCCAGCCAAGCCAAGAACGATGATTGCAAATCTATACTGCGACCAAATTTTCACGTAAATGCTCAACTAGCTACGAACTGCCCACCCTGCCAGAGTAATCTTCGGACATCAACCAACCATGTAGAGAATCGTCTTAATAAATGCAGCATTTGGAACACACCGGATGCTGTCATCTTGCTAGCTATGCCTCATTATTCATGTACGAAACCCAAACTACATTATCATTCATCTCCTCCACTCCCTCATTATCCGCTACGGCGATTAATGCATTCACCAACACTGCACACACTCCTGATACACCACCAATTACCAAACCCTTTACCAACAACGGCATCATCAAGCGCTGTGGCCTGAAAGCGTGCTGACTGGCGTCCAAGTCCAGTACACGCATTCTGCCCATTTGCGTGTGTGTGCAGCAATCTTCAAGGACAACCACCACCAAGGACATCATCAACGCTCAATCGTCAACGACGTTTTTTACGATGCCAACAGACATTGCGGACGCCAAATGGACTTCGTGGACAACTGTGGACCAATGGCCACACTCGGACTGCACCAATTCTCGTCTCTTCGTCCACCCCTCCCTCGCCTCTCACGCCGTTACCTGAAGTTGGCCGGTCAATTACGAATCTATCATACAGAAGGTGGTGAACCAGCACCCGAAGCACTGACTTTCATCCGCCGCATCGACCTCAACTGTCCACACTGCCCTCTCATATGCATGCACTGCATGCGCCTATTCGGCCAAATGCCTATTACATTCGTTAGCACACCCACCGCGCCCAGCCTTGCCAACACCCAGTCGCACAACATGCCCGCCACCACCAACTCCGACATCACCATCACCGAGGCTGATACTTACACCGCCAACTTCTCGTGTCAACACTGCCCCCGTAAATTAAACTCACACATAGGCCTGATCGGTCACTTTATATTCCATAGCCCAGGGACCGGAGAATCAGTACCTGCCGTACCAACCTGCACTGGTTGCATACGCCTCCACTGTCCGCACTGTACTCACACATTTATTTACAGCTAGCTCGTCGACAGAACCTGCGGTAGACAACCACCGGCTGCACCGCATCATCGCATCCTCCCGCACACTATCTCGCTGCACATCAGCATCATCCACCTCAAGCAACAAACCAACATTTCCCATACAAATAAGATGCTTGTGCCACGGCTTCTTCTCCATGCGACAATCCTGCTGTATGCGCAATGGGAGTCTGAGACGGAGAAGTTGCGTCGAGCGCCTTGTCCCGACGGCAGCCGACTGAGGCTCATACTCAGCTCACGTCGTGTGCCCAGTTATGTGTGTGTGGTATGTATATCTGAAAATTGCCTTGTCTTTGCCTTCCCACCACCCATATGCTTACTTTGAGCTAGCCCAACGGCGTGCTTACCTTTCAGTCGCCGCCGCCGCCACCGGGAAGCAGGTGTCTGTGAAGTAATTTTTGTGCTAGCTGATGGCTGTCCTCGGTCGCAAATTCCGCCAAAATCAGGACTTTTTTGAAGACAATGACGCTGACATTAGCATCCTGATCGCCGACAAGAACCGTCTAAACATAGCTCATGCCAATAGACCTTCCGACAACAGAAAGCAGCCTACAACAGTAGTCGCTCTCCTGCGCAATGGCATCTGTAGGAGATGGAGGACGCCAGGATGGCTCGCAATATGGAGAATATCCAAGTGTACGCGTGCCGTTACGAATGGAAAAGATTTTTCGTTACGATCATGGCTGTCAACGGTCAGTCAAATGAGCCGCTCTTCGAATCAGCGTCGACGGAGCTACCCTACTTACTAAGAAGGCGCAAATTTCGTGGCGTTAGGCGAGCACTTCAAAGGCAATCTCAAACGTTTCTCAGCCATCTTCGTCGCGGCCTTGCTTGTCCGCCTCAACTGGGGGCGGACTCCGACTTCGATCCTCCGTGTCCACTTTCCGTCAAGGCTGTGTCAGCAGGCAAATAAGAACACATGTGCATTCACGAAAACCTTCGTAAGAAAACCGATAGTCACACCACACAACGACATTAATCGTCATAAACAAACCCCTGTCACCTCCCAGGCATATGGGACGTGTGCTTCTCGGCCGCGCCTCCATACAGCTCCTCTGCTGCATGCGTGATGCAAAGCCGACACTTTCACAGTACACTGAGCGCTATGGCTTGGAAGGCTGCCAACTGATGGCCCAAACCGGTGCACAGTGTCTGCCAAATTTTGCTTGTTTGTCTGGAGTGGCAGATGGGCGGGCTGACATCCAGGTAGCTGCATCTTATTCTTACAATGAACTCCGCTATACCCGCGCATGATTAGCTGTATGTCACAGAACACCTACTGCGTGAAAAACTGGTGCACATGTTTGGCACGCCAGACAGTGAATATGAGGCAGTCAAGATCATTATATATGGCAACACCCGCCCCTGATACCCGTACCTGTCAAGTAACCTGCTCGGACAGTGTCTGCAGCCTTGGCAGAATGACGTCGAAGACTCTGCGCATTTTTCTCACTATACGCTATCTCACGTGCGTGACACTATTACGGTGAGCTAAAAGTCGAGGTTCCAAATTTTTCAAATAACAGAATTGCTTGAATATTGCAGTCTGCCCAATGTTTCTTTATTTGGATCTTCACACTTGGGCCCTCGTCGTTCAAACTTTCGTGTGTGTATTTGTGTGTGTGTGTGTGTGTGTGTGTGTGTGTGTGCGTGCGTGTGTGTGTGTGTATGTGTGTGTGTCAACCAGCACAGACTCTTGCTTCATCTAAGGACGGAAAAGTCTTAGGAGAGGCTGCAAAATGCACGCCTGAGGTCAGCCTCGGAACGTTAGGAGAACCGCCACCACCATCAACGTCAGCAGTATATTGGAGCGTCCTCGACCAGTGAAGCGCCCGAACCCCCCGTCCGCCTCTCTGTGAAGGCTCTCAAGGAGGAGTTTTATCGCAATTCCCGTATCGCCGTCTCCCGCACCTCCTCCAATCCGACAGCTTCGGCCGCAGGTCTGGCCGAAGTGGATGCCAAAAGGACCGTCAAGCAGCCAACCGGCAGCCACGGAAACTCCCTGCCTACCTCGCCGGCTTCACCGTCGCATCAACCCCTCTTCCAGAGCCGTCTGGGCAGGGCGAATCAGTTCGTTGATTGCTCTTCTTGACACCGACCCGCCTCTAAACTCTTTCGGCGCTCCCCCGAATGTAGGTTACTTATTCGCCCCGCTTCCCTTCAACTCAGTTTCACCCATTTGGCCGCTAGCCCCTAATTTAGACCTTTACATCCTGTCTGACTAAAAATTGCGAATTTTAGCAAAATCTTTAGTTACGTTCTCCCAGTCCTCCAGCTCTCATTCTTTCTCTCTTGTCTTCTCAAGAGGGCGTTTTGCTGTCTAATTTTGGCCAAAATAGAAATCGTCTACTCGATTATTTTCGGGTATTTTACCATCGACACAAGTTCGTCTTTTTAGGAAGAGAAAAAGACTTGGCCATTGAAATAGCGTCCGCTGATTCAACATGGTTCTCAGTAATGCCAGAAAGCCATTCCGATTGTGGCAGATTCTCCTAAACTTTAAAAAGTCCACCTTTTAAAGCAATCAAAGCACGCGAACTAGCCGGTAAGGAGCTCAGTACTCACCTGTCCGCGCAGTTTAAGTTATAAGGATTGGTAATCAGACTCCTACAGAGCACGCTCGGCATATGTAATTACTTACTTAATTTTCATTCACACTTGCGTTACATATGGCTTTTCTCATGATGTTATTCTAACCAAAAGGGAGTTCATAGGCGTTTGCCTACCTTTCCCTCAATAAAACTGAACTCAACTGAGCTGGCAAGACTCATTTTGCGAAAATGATGCAAACCCATGTCTGCTTTTCCATCTACAAGGATGCCATGCTCTGTAACGTAGGGCCATCATCATTGTAACTATTCCATATAGAGACAACCAGCAACTTTGCGAACTGGAGTGTGGGTTTGAGCTACAATTACAAACTCCCATTCCAAAATGAAAGGATAAGACAGAATGCAGCAGGATGAGGGGTTCAATGGTTACAGAACTCGATTTTGTCCTCTCGGGCAGCAGTCGCCACTGGCCAAGCTAGGCTTGATGTTAAATGCATCCAGTCAGCCCTGAGAGTCCATGAAATAGTGGCAGTAGCCACTTTTGTAGGCTTGCAGGCCAAGCTCAAGTGGTGTCCAGTCGCTGTGTGTTGCATTTGCCGAAGAGTGGTGACCCAATGGCTGAAGTTGTGGTTGCAGGAGGGACGGTGGGTTCAAGTGGACTTATGGGCATCTGGGTTTGCGCCGACGCAGGTATGCCCAAGCTGCCGGTCGTCTGACCTCAGGTCAGCACATCTGGAACGACCCACTGTAAAAGGGTTAATGCCTTTGAGGCAGCGAAGTCTTGAACAATGGCACCAGACCCGTTATCATTGCTGCACGCTACAGCGGTCCACGGCAGCAGGTGCCGACAGCTCACTCAATTTTCTTCTCCAACAAAGGAGGCAGAATACCGAATGTCCAAGAACAACCTCCATTTCTTGGATAACTGTTTTGAACTGACCCTTGCTGACGCCTGTAATGGGGCAACCGTGTCAGATCGAGGGCAATGACATTAGTCCCCTGAGGCAGACGACGAAGATCACGCTTAAGCTATCACTTTGATCGTGTAACAGCGATCGAGGGCTGTCCAATTTGAGACTAAGTCGGTGAACCTCACTCGAAAGGTGGTCCTCAAGCATTGGTAATCAAATACCTTCGGTTTATGTTAGTTCTCCACGCGCAAAACCCAGCCTTCACAACCGTACAGAAGGACAGACCGGACAGATGCATGGTACACGCGAAGGATCCTAGGCAGTATCAAAGGCATACGAAAACCCAGCGGTCAGTATTATTTCTGGAGACACTGTCGTCAATACTCTGTTCATTAGGCAGCAGCCTCATCCCAAAGTATTTAAAACTGAATACTTCTTCCAGCTTGCAGTCACCACTTCCCAGGTGTGTCTTCTTCCGCTCAGGGATGCAGCCAGAATAGACGCGCGGGCTGCTGTGTTACAAGATAAAGTGCGATTCAACTCCACGATGTTTATTTCGGGTAGCCTGAGTAAGGAATTCAAATTTAGGTCAGAGTGCAGACATCTACGTCGTACTGATTAACGATGCGTGCAGTCAGATTTTAGGTAGCGGAGTCCAGGAACGTTCGCAAATTCCAGCGTCCAATATCAAACGTCCATCGCCAAATAAGTAGTCTGGCTCGCATACTATTTGTCCGCACCACTGAACCAGGGTAGCGGAGCGCGTCGGTTCCCGCGGACGCCGTATCACGGGCATATTTCATAAGGGTTTCTTGGGAGTTCCGACCACGGTCGCATCCCCAAACAGTCAAACAGCTTTGGCTTAAAAGCCTAACCAGAAGGCAGATGTGGTAAGCAAAGTGATTTAACGGCGGTTCACGTTTGTCATGTCACAATGTCTTTATTGGGTTTTGCGACTGTTTATTCGGCTTTTAGAGTGACAGTCAACAGCCTACCGCACCCTGTTTGCAATGTCGCTGCTGGTCCGCGACTGCGTATTCGTCAAAACTTGGTCTGCTTATTTCGCAACGAACCTTTACCGAAGGTCTATCCGCTAATTGCCACCTGCGGACGAGCCTGGTAGCCAGCAGGTAGACTATTAGGCAACCCGTTATAATAGTTAACATTTTGAGATAAATGAGCAAACGTTATAGTTTGTACTCGCGCCAGTTGGTTATCTTAGACCGAAGATGAATAATTAAGGACGCATATAGTACGTCATACTCAATAGGGGTTTGACTGCAATCCACATTTAAATTTCCATATCTTGCACTTGGTTTGGGAATAGCAAAATTGTTAAACAGGGTAGTACGTTAAACCATACACAGTCTTTTATCATTCTTTTCCTCTTATTATATGTTTTTTTCGATTTAACTCCCTACGATATGCATTTGTCGGAAAAAAAATCATAACAAATGCACATTGCTTTGCGGTGAACCAAATTTGTCATGACGCTACTAAAAAGACGCAGCGTTGATTACGATGCGCATAATTCAGGTTCGCATAAATTTAATGAATGTAAGTGCATATAAACTCTTTTTTTCCGGGATAGCATGACCAAAAGACAATTATATTTTTGCGCTCTCTGTTTATTGGACAACTCAATTTAAATATAGTGAGGGGTTTAAAGTTAAATAAATAATATATACTAGTCATGTAATGTCAAATGATTTGTGCACTAATAACTTCCACATTTTACGGATTTCTCCCGGTGAAAGTTTTGGTAACATATATTTCACTTGCATTTTTAACATAACTCAATTCTAATTCACTCGGATGTGCATGCGATAGTAGCATGTTTGTTGAAAGCGGCTCGAACGAATTGATCAATTTTTGATAGCGCAGTGATACTCCAATTTGTACTGCGATTGCCAATATGTGTATTTCTGTCACGTAGCACAATCCTCGAAAGATTGGGAAATGTAAGATCCACTAAACGAAGGATACTTTTATGTAAACCCTCGTCTGAATAGTAGAAGGTCGTCTGCACTTTTGCCCGTTTAAGCACTGCGTTTAGGCTTGCAAGCGTTTTTTCTTTGACAATTACGGAGTCCGTTAATTTCCATTCCTTAATAAGTTTAAGAAAACGCTTTGGCAACCAAACAAAAAAAAACACAAAAATCCTGCTATTGCTATGCTACTACTATTTTATTAATGCTACCGTATACTGCAATCCCCAAAGCACATGCTGTTTTTTTTGCTCTCTGAGAAATGCTTCGATGAAAAATTCTTAAGCTAATTAAGAGACATTAAATGTAAATAAATGCTCGATTAATGAAAATCGCGCAGCAAAGTGAGTAGAAATATCCAACCTTTTTAAACATATGCAGATTAAGTTGCGGCACCTCAGCGATACATCGAAATTTAAGTAACTTCGCTTCGCGTATGACGGCTTCTAAATCGCAATCCGCATTCCGTATTGTTGCATTAGTTTTCATTTGTAAATCGACCCATTGCATATGGCCTCGGTTTCCAAAATACTCGAGTGGGAACAATTTGTTTATACTATTTTCCGCGAAATCAGCTAGCACAATAGAACTGCTGCGCTTCGGGCATTTCATTTCACCTGAAGATGGTGTAGTAAGGAAATAGACTATCATTTACTAGGCTATTCATAAAGGATCTACACACAAAAGTGACATTCTCGATTCTTCTGCACTTATGTCATCTGGCCCAACTTTACGCACGACAGTCAGCATCATCTTGAAAAACCTCGTTCATTCGCAAGATGTATAGGCAGTTGCATAGTGTTCAGTTTTCAGTGATATATATTCGTCAGCTTAATGAATGACATTGTGCGAGTCAATGCATAGCTAGAGCGCCGTCACGTCGATTGTATACAGTAGCCGAATAATGTCTCCGTTTAACTGCATGCACGAGGATTCACGGAAGGGAAATAACACAAACGTACGCCAGGAAGTACTGCTTTAAGCAAAATGTCCTTTAAACTATAGAATTATTGACTATTGGCACAAATATGCATGTAAAACCGTTTGTACCGCTAGCATTTAAGTTTTGTATCCATGAACATTTCTGCTGCTGCTGCTGCTGATACACTTCACTCATAAAGGATCGTTGCCAAAATGAATAATTACATATTAAAAGTATTGGCTACGGCTCAATGGCAGTGATTCTGCAGCTCCATTTTGCCCTCTTATCCGTCTACATTAAATAAGATGGTACACGGGACTCGAACAATTTTATATTTTCTGCGCTAATCAGTGTGCATGTTATATTTAAAATACTGTGCCTAAATACCGTCATAAAAAAGTAGAAACAATTTGTGCACAACGCAATGCCAAGTTCAAACTGACGCTGATTACGCCTTCGATATCTGTCCCGACATTTAAATGGTAAACCGCTCACTTCAACAGAATAGTTACATTTGCAAAAATCAAAGGATGCTAAACGCTTAAAATATGACAGTTGGCAAAAAGAGCGACTAACCAAGAGATTGATGACAGGCATTCACCCAAGTAACAAAACCTAGTAGACACTGAACTTTCAAATCGCGACTGAACATGGTTTGAAACCGTCGTCTTGCCGACACGTTTTATAGCGTATAGAGCAACAACCAATGGGAATAACTT